GGATGGGGACTTGGAAAATCGAGACAATGTTTAACCAGTGGAAAACAGTTAATCACAGCTGGCTACACTCAGAGAAAATCAGCTATATGTGAAGCTGTTAAATGGCGCTTTGATAATAACTCCAAGAAAATTAAATAAATATTGAATATTGAAGAGAAGAAAACTGTGCCATTTATAATCAAGTCTGAGATTCGAACCACGTAGAAATTACAGCTTAGATGAAAGTATTTGGTATCTTGAAAATGTTTTAATTAAAAAATAACTACACGATGAAAAGGGTAGATATGTGAAAAATTCAGCTAGACAAACTCTCGAAGGATTCATTGACAATGGATGGCAAATAGTCAATCGAGTTAATTATTTGAATAGAATAAATAAAGAGTGATTGGTAAATAGCTCCAGTAAATTATCTATAGATTTCTAACTTGAGTTAACATACGCTGTAAATTGGGCAAATAAAGACTAAATTCACCATGGAGGTCATGAAAATGTGAGTGACCCACATATGGTTACATAAAATGAAGAAAAATATAAAAACAGACTTTTGACTCTTATGCTCAAGATATCTTGATCAACAGAAAACTTTTTCTTTCAAAAACTATTCCTCCTTTTTTTCTATGACAGCTTTAGAAAGTAGTGCTCCGATTTAGATAAGATTTGTTTCAAGCACATGTATGTTCTGAAAAAGGAGATGGTCCTATGCAAAGGTCCAAGACAATAGCCTATAAACTGAAGGACTAGTGGACGGACAGACGCACATGAATATATCAACCGGTCTATTGATGCTGATATGGAATATATGTACTCTATGGGGTCGGAGACGACTACTTCAATGCGTTATTTAGTTCATGACGAACCCTCTATAAGGGTATATTGAATAAAACAATTTGAATATATTAGTCAAAGGAAATTCCTGCAAAGTCACTTTGAATCAATTGGGCCGAAAGATTGACCTTTAGTTATGTCTATATTTGAAGAATTTAATAAATAAGAGTAGCATATGACTTGGCCAGCTCAATAAACTGCATTACAGGGATGCGTATAGTTTTGTTCGCCTATCTATGACTGATATCACACCCGCTCTCACGCCCGGGCAACTGTAATTAACCGAACGGCCCGGCGATAACTCGTCTGATATACTTTTAACCCCATATGAACTCTTGAAAGACGCAACCGCGGAGGCGGCGGCGCAGGCGCAACTAATGAGCAGCAGCAGGCAAAGGACGTGGGATGAGGGGTTAGAAAACTGGAACCACCACCGTAAGCATTGGCCAACTGTTGTCTATTTGTTTGGTCCACTTTACTCCCCCTCCCCTTCCCACTCTTCACCCCCTCATCTATTGGTCCTTTGGTCAATTCGCCGACTGAACTTGAAGTAAAACTTGGTTGTGAAAATTTATGGTGTGCTCTATGAGCTGGCATGGACTAAGGCATTGGCATATGGTCAGCTGGGCCGCTGATCCGCTGGTCCGCTGACCCTACCAAAAACGTGAAAACATATGTCAGGCGCGGCATTGCGGTTTTCAAAGGGGAAGTCGATTCGAAAAGTATATATATGCCTGAGCATGTGGGAAACAATTTAACGTAAAAATGTATGATACTAAAATCATTTATCATAAATGTAGTGCCGGGGTTCAAGAGTTAGTTTAAGGAATCCAATTTTATGTTCACAATGAATTGAACCTTAGAACGGATAAGTTAAATAATGAACAACCGAACCTATTCCTGAACGGAATAAAACCAAGTTGTGGGCCTGAAATCGTAGATGCAGTAAGCCAGATTAAAGAACTAAACCAGACGGTTATCGATTCGAACCTCAGCCAATTTTTACGGGACTTTCTAAAAGTTGTACAGGCTTTTCTTTGCAACTCAATCAAGTCGTATAACAGAACGCTTGAACTTTAAAGACAAGCCTCACTCTACAAAGAATAACAACAACTATAGTTACAGCTAACTTGGCTAATTACAATTTCTAATAGCAACAAGGACTGAAGCCAAGCATAGCAGAGGGCGTGTGAAGGGGGCGCTGCACCACTTGCTGCAATCAATAACAAGCACAAGCAACAACAACTGCAACAACCACAACAACAGCCACAACAACAATGCACAAACAACAACAACAACAACTCGCTGATAATCAATAAAGCAAAAGCAGGACTCATATATCCATAACAACCAACAAGTGGAACCAGCCAGTCGATGCCGCTGGCCATGGAGCCAGAGTCGGAGCTGGAGTTGAAGCGGGAGCTGCAAATAGAGTTCGAGTTAAAGTTGTTGCAATTGTTGTTCTTGTTGGTTGTTAGGGCTTATGGGAATCCGACTGAGGCATTGGGGTGTAGGGCCGTACGAACTTTACCTACTCGTGTTAATTGTTGGCCCTCGATTGCAGCGGATCAGCATGGCCAACAATTAAATGCCATGCAATACGTTGAGTGGTTCGGTGTTTTTTTTTTTTTTTTTGGAGCGCACCACACACAGTGGCCCCAGAAGCATAAATACTGACAGAGGTTACTAATACTAAAGTTAAAATCTAAGAATAGCTGCAAATGTTATCCTCATTGTAAATAAATAATGCAGCACATGTTAACAAATAAAAAAAGATTTTATTTAATAGATATAGCTTTAGATTTTAATTTAATATTAATTAGTCTACATTGTTTTGGGCTCGTGCTTAGTGCAGAAAATAATAGGTTTCAATAAGAATGTCGCATATGCTTGGAATTTTTTCCAAATTTACAAACACTGCACAAACATTACACATTTTGCAGCACTGCTCTTTGGATAATTGCAACCCATGCGGCGTATGTGAAATATTTGCTAAGTACTCGAGCCTGGCAACAGCTGCCGGCCGCGAGGAGCGCAATTAAAATAGCACAAAAGTTGTTTAGGCAGACACATTTTGATCGTTTCATTTAAAACAGAAATTCTATAAGAGCGAGAGGGGTGCGCGGCAGGACCAGTGGAGGGGCACAGGGGCAGTTGCACTTGGCCCGGCCGAGCTGACATTTAATTGCAGGTGTGCATGGCAAGGTGACAATTTTGCGTCAGTCGAGCGAGCAACGCGCCAGCCAGGGTAACACACCATGACTAGGGTGGGGGGTCGCTACAAGAAGGTGGGGGAAAGGAGATTGAGGGGCAAACGGGCTGCAGCATTTTGGCGAGAAGTAATTGTTTTTTAAGCCACGACCGCTGCAAATTATGCGCGCTGCCTGTCGATGGCTACACAGCAATAATAAAATTATAAAAAAAAGGAATGGAAAGAAACATTTAAGTTGGAGCTAACAAAGACGAAATACCCTTGCAAAACAGATTATGAGATTGATCTAAGCAATACAATAAATACAATCCTTAGATACAAAATACAAAAACTTATTATATTTCAAATAATCTTAAAAGAAACTGTTTTAGAATATTAAGATATTTAAACTTTTATAATTATAAGATTTACTTACAAATTGTAACAGTCAAGTAATACACTATTTGTAAGTCTATTCAGCTTAAATATGAGAGTAACATGATGAGAATTTAACTGATATAATGCGAGTCTTTCATCGAGACGTAACAATATTAAACAGTATTGATATAGATAGAGCATAGATTGCTTTCATAAAGATAGATTAAGTAGATATGATATTAGATATGTTTTATCGACCGCATTTATAAAGGTTTTTCTTCGTAGGATCAAATCTTATATATATGTGTATATAAAGTTCGTTCTTTAACATGTTACATATTTCCTGCCAATATGCAAATACACTTCGTTAGGGTATACGATAAAAATAAAGAAAACCGAGGCAGGCATCAAAAAATTAATAACTTTGTCGCTATCTTTGGACTCGGCCGCTGTTGCTCTCCCGCTGCTGATCAGTTGGGGCGCAATTACAGTGCACAGTTGGGGGCGTGTCTTAGCAGCAGCTACTGCAGCAATTTTTTGCGTCTTTTATTTTATTATTATTTTTTTCGCTGCTGTTGTTGCTGCTGCTGTTGTGTTTACAAGTATTTTGCGGCAAGTTAAGTACACAAAATTATCAGAAATTATATGCACTTTTGGGCAGCGGCGATACTCGATCTGCGCCCAGCGATAAGGCGGCAATAGAGCAAAGCGCTTCAAGAACAAAGTATAAAGAGTAGAAGGGGCAGCTGACAAAGGGCCAACCCGTGTGCCTTGTAAGGGGGTACTACTGTAATTTCACGCAACTCTGCCGATATGCATAATATTCATAATTTCCATATTGAATGCTCAAGCTGTTGCTAAGTTGTATCAGCATTGCGTATACGCAGCGTGAGACAGGCAAGATTGATTAATAAATTAGAAACTCAAGCGAGAAGTGTTTTCTTTCCGAAGCCGTAGCTTAAATACCCTGGATAAGAAGTTGTTCTTTGTTACAAAACATAATTTGCAATTGATTATTTAAAGCTAACTTTAAAATAACACGCTTTTAAAAACAATTCAAATATGGACTGACTGTACCTTAAAAACAACTGTATTAGTTGTCCGACTTTAATTAATATTGCTCCAAACTATTAAAATCACTAAAATTTAGGAACTTAGAGACCGTCATAGGTTAACAGGTCGTTGGATCACAATAAAACTTGGTAAGTTTGATTAAAGAATGTGTAAATTGGTCAGTCAAGACATTTGGTTAGTTGAAAAGTAACCCAAGTTTTAGTCCAGGTAACTGAAATAACCTTTCTCGACTACTGCTACTGTTTCAGGTGTTACAGATTCCATGCCAAAATGAAAATACCCTCTGCTGTGGCATAAAAAAAGACCAGTAGCACAAATGCTGTTTGCGGCATCATTTATCAGTAGCTGGGCCCAACAAGCCGCAGATTGATGGCCAAGAGAGAGAGAGAGAGAGAGAGAGAAAAAAAATAACAAAGCAGTTGACTTTGGAGCTAAACGTTTTCATTGATTGAAATCTTTCAGTAATCATAGAGATACACACACTTGCCACAAGTTGGCTGCCCCGCGGGGGGCTGGGGCACTCGTCACTCACCTTTTCCCGTTGCGTCGCCTTCGCTTGGTGGCGTAGACGGTGCCCAGTTGGCTCATTGCAAGGGCGGAGTTCGTGATGGTCGCCGTTGTGAATGATTTTTTCTTTTCCTTTTTTTATTTTTGTAACACACACTTTCTGCTCGACTGAGCCGCGTTGCAACGCGTGTTGCAAGTTCGCCTTTTGATTTGTAATTGGTTTTTTTTATTAAGCTGCAGTCCTGCTGCGGCTGCGGCTCCTGCAACTGCTACTGCTGCAGGATCTCAGCAGCTGCGGTGGCTTTTTGGGTTTCGTTTTTGCCACGATTTTGCATTTTTCTTTGCTTGATCATCACGTCTCACATTTTGTTTAACTACGCTCTTTTCTGTTTTTAATTATTGCACTTTTTTGTGGATAACATTAAGAGCTTAAGTATATAAAGCTGAGTAGAGAGAAGGCAATTTTAAATTAATTTAACCAAAAACTGATAATAAATGCTTTTTTTCACATTTATACGAGAGACCCTTATCACGTGGACAAATAATTTAATATTTGTGTAAATAGGGTATAAATTTCTAGATAAAATTAACTTAGAATTTTTAAAAGCATTTTCCTTAAGCATTTAAGTGTCTTCTTTCACGTCGAGAAATTGAATAGAACTCTAAACAAATATATTGTTGCAACCTGAACAAAATGTTTTTGCAGCAGGAATATTTGTGAATTCTTTGAAGTACTTGAAAACGTTCATAAGAATGCAAAGCTAGGTGACATTTACAAAAAACTGATATTATTTTACTTAAGTTTTATTATATGAAAGACCCCAGACATTTATCATGATATTTATTATGATTGTTAATGATCGCGTTCTGTCAGGCAGACACCTTCCAGTGTTAATAACAACGTTAATATACATTTTAATAAAAAATGAACCAATCAGTAGACGCTAGTGATATAAAAAATAATAAAAGTATTCAGAACAAATGCTAATTCTAGTTCCGCTATGCAAAAACATTGCCAGTGTTAAACAACAATTAAAATGTGAATGACAAATATGCCCAGAACTGTGCAAAATAGATTTTTTAGTTCGATTAGCACTGTGGTTGATTTGATTATGTTTTTCTTTTATTTTTTGTATTTTTATTTTTGTAACACTTTTGCTTTTCACTTGCACGCATTGAGCTGCTTTTATTGTTGTTGTTGTTGTTGTTGTTGGTTTAGTTAAGCGTTGTTGGTGTTGACGCCCGATGACGACGCCAACGACGCATGCAACAAATCAGCAGGCCAAACGCAAGAACGGCACGCAAATCATTTTCAAGCTCAATGCGGAGGCGTCGCCAGCAGCAGAGGCGTCGGCAGCGACAGCAACGGCAACGGCAACGGCGCTTAGGCGAGCTGTCAAAGTGACATTTTGTGTGGCATTCAGAAGTGAATGACCGCACCGGCGGCAAAATTGGCAGCTTTCTGCACTTGCACTTGTCTCAATAAAGTTATTGTTGTTGTTGCTGTGGCTGTTGCGTGTGGAGAACTATGCCAGGCGGGCTGTTCGAATTTGTAGGGTATCGCGTGACAGACAGGAGCGCCGCAGAACGCAAAACGCAAATCAAAAATCGGAAATGGAATTTTAATTTTTTTTTTTTTCGAATTTGATTTTGCGTTGGCTTTATTTCTTATTCTTTTTGCACACTTTTTCACTTGCGTTCTAGCACGCAGCTTTTCAACACTGGCACTGATCTCTGTGTGGCGGTACCGGACGAGGCGCCAGGCGCTGGCGTTGGCGTTAGCATTGACGACGGCAAACACCGTTAGTTGGCAACGACTGCACGCGAGCGGCAGAAACGAATGAATATGTGAATGCGCGGCTCAAACTCAAAGCTGAAACGTTGAAGACGCTTGAAATGAAACATGCTGTGCGCCTCATTCCCACTCCCTCTCACGCACGCACGCTCTCTCACCAGGCAACTGTAAACTGCCGTCGGCGTTGACCGTTGCCGAAAATATAAATTATTTTTGTTTTGTTTTTTTTTTTTTTTTTGTTTGTTGTTGTTGTTTTGTTTTTGGTTTTTGCTATTGCGCGAGCGACGACTCTCGTGTGGCTCGGTGACTGCGCGGCCACGTCGACGCTTTGAGAATCCAACAAGAACTGAAAACGAAATTGGAAAAAACCTGTCCTGCTTGAAACGTTTTGGCAATTGGGACACGCTGCTGCGCTCTGCTGTGTTTATGTTCTTTCCAGTCGTCCTGGCAACGCGATCGTCAAGCGGGCAGCGCTGGGTGCGAGCGAGAGCGAGCACGCAGCGTTTGCCGTTCCATTGCCATCGTTTCAGATTGTGCGCGCGCCTGGAAAGTGCCAACTGCAACAGCCAATTATGGAAGCGTGCACTGCGTCTCTTTCTAACGCAAGTGAGTTTCTGTTCGCTGACTTTGCGCTCAAAGTGAACGGGGCGTGTACTTACCAATGCACGCAGACATATGGCATATTGCTGGCTCTGTCTATCGCATGGGCTTACAGCTATGTATGAATGTGTGCGCGTGTGTGTGTGTGTGTATGTAGTAATTCATAATGCTGTAATTAAGAGTTTGTTCTCCTCATTTTTTAGAAGCTGAGCTTTTATGGTCGGCTATCATTTCAAAGGCATCGCCTAGTCGCATATCGAGCGAGCGTTTTGTATCTGACTTGCATCAACTGCGCTCGGGAGCTGCATTCGAAACTGTATTCAAATCGCATTAAGCTAACCATTTAAATGAACGACTAGCTGGCATTTAACTGCCAGCAGCCCATTAAAAAAGCAACAACAACAACCAACACGAGTCATAACGACAAACACAACACACAAAACACTTGGCGTTGCCACTTATCTCAATGATTTATTTGTGCCACTGACGACGACAACTACAAGACACAATTCTTGGAAGAACCCAAACAAAATGTCTGCACTCAAGGCGCACCAGCTGGGGGCTGAGAGGCATATAGAGGCAACTCAGCTGAACTAAAATGCCGCCATATGTCCGCATGTAACCGCAGGCACTGGCCACAGATGGCACAGCCAATGAGTGAGAGTGCGGGAACTATGGCAGGCAACACAAAAGTTGAATAGTCTCTTACCAAAAAATACAGAGTGAGAAAATAGATGAATAGCACATATAAAAAGTCCTATGGTCTAATTCATCTCTCAATAACCTGAAAATTCCCTAGAACTCCTTACGCTGGGAACTTTTTAAAGTAACTGTTATACAAGAAACATACAAATACGATTTGCGCGAAATTAGTATTTATTACTATTTTATGCATATATGCATATATAGTATAGTATACTATATATGAAGTTAGCCTAATTCTTTGAATAGCACAGACAAATACGTCCTCTGGCTAAAACCATACACTATCCTTGAATGCGAACCTGAATCCTCGTTGCTTAATTCCCCGAAGGACTTTTTCCATGCTTATCTTGAAGCTGGAAAGCTCATTATTTTTGAGTACAGCTATAATATATTCAAAAAGAATAATATTTGAAAACAGTTCTAGTCGACTTTGACAGATATGTGAGGTGCTCCTTAAAGAGACAGATCGAAAGGCAGACGGACATAACTATGTATATACATATATACTACATTTTAGATAACAAAATGATACCATATGATACTCTGTAAGAATATAGAAATATTAATAATAATATTGACAATTTCATCCATGTACGTGGAATTGACCAAAACTATCGGAAGCTATAATTAGAGTAAGGTATATTTAGCATATTTTTTAATTACAGGCGATATAAAGGAGAGATATAAGGTAAAAGATTTCCTAGAGGTTAGCCAGAAAACTTTGTTTAAAGCAGTCAAAACTTTTGAGATATAGGCTTGGTCCTTACACCAAATAAATGTAGAATATTAGTCAAGCCTTACAGGTACAACGCTTGCAAGGGTTGACATATCCTTTCCTTTAAACACCCTGTTAACTTTCTTATATCTTAACCCAATTCAGCCAACAGCATGCAAAATATCTTTCGTTTTGTGCTATTTTCTTGTTAAGGGCAGTATTTTTTTCAGTGCACAAAATATGACGTCAGACAAAAGGTGTCTGAAGAAGAATCGAACTGAAGGCAATTACATTGCGTGCAGTCTTTGCCAAGTCGCAGCCCAATGTTTATCTCGTCTGGTCTAGTCGAAGAGAGTCTGGTTCTGGGCTTGGGAATTGGGTATTGGGATTGGTCAGCATCAGAGCTGCGCATGCGCAAATTCCCGCTGAGCAGGCGCAGGCGGCAACAGAGGAGCAAACGGCAAAACAGAAGGCAAAAGGCAAAGGCAGTGTCAATCGCAGCCACTAATAAGCCAACCGGTCACAGTTGCAACTGGAACAAGTGCACTCAGAGAAAAAATCAAGAAGCTTATGCTCAAATCGAGCACATTCTAAATATCCAAATCAGACAGAGTAGAATTTGTTTAAGTCTTAAACGAAGTCAGCAGAACTTTCCAGGTATATCCGCATTTCCACGAAGTATGACTGAATAAAAGTTGGCAAATTATTGTAACAGGTATTTTCCCCAAAATACCAAATACCCAAATACCAGACTCCTTCTTTGACATTAGACCAGCGGAGAATGTTATGAACTTCTTTCAAGAATAATAACATGAAAAATGCAGAATTTTATTTGGGTTATTTAAGACGCCTATATAATTGAAATTTTATTTACAAAACGTATTAAGTTCATCCCCAATCATTTCCATTATAAAAACATGGTTTTCTCTGAGTGCAGCGGCGTTGAGAACTGCAACAGCTAGCCCCTTGCAGCCTGCCCCTGCACCGACTCGAGGCACTTGCAGCTTATCAATTTACGCTTGCAAGCCCGGCAACTGGACAGTTGCAGGTGCCTTTTGGCATTACCCAAGTCCCAGCATTTCGCTTGTCGTCTTCGCATATCAATTTCCACGACGGCCCCTCAATGTGGCCAAAACGAACTGCCAGACAGGCGACCAAGTCCGAGTCCAAGTCGAAGTCCTCAGTTGTTTGAGGAATTATGTGTTTGTATAACTTTTTGCCGCGGGCACTTAATATGCTCTGTAGTGTCAGTTAGCCCCGCTTCCCCTAACCCCCCTTCACTGACTAATTTCATATAACAAGTTTCTCATTACGCGCGAGTTTTTTTTTTTTTCTTTAATTTTTGCATTTGGGGTTCAGCGCGCAGCTGCCTGAACGCATCAATGTCAAAGTTGATGGTTGGCGATCCAGATCTAGACAAGCGCTATAATTTGCCAATTAAGTGGCTCATCGTGTGGTTAGCAGCGAGCGCCCCTTGATCCAGATCCATATCGAGACACAGTCAAAGGCTGACGACATTAGCGCAAAAAAAAAGCCCAAAATAACAATGCAAAAAATAAAAGGTTGAAGAGAAAAAAGAGCTAAGAGGCGCCTAGGCAAAAACACACACACATTTACACACATAATTTGTGTGTGTATCAATTAAATATAATTATTAGGCAAACAGCAGAAAAAAACTAAAAACAAGCCAACGCCATAAAGGATACACAAAGTGCACATTTAATGGCCGCCAACGACAATAAACAAATGTTTACCTTTAGCTGATAGGCAGCACAAAACACATGCACACAAATCCACACAAACACACAGCTAACCCTACATGCTGCCTGCTAAGTAGCTGCAATTATTAATTGCCATTTGTGACAACTCGGCGCGACTCAAAATGGCGGCCTTTGTGGAACCACAACAACAACAATAAACAAACAAAGAACTGCAGCGGCAGTGGCAGCTATGTCATTTTAGACACAGCAACACACACACACACACAGATACACAAAGAATGCAAACAATGGCCACAAACAACAACCACAACAAGAACAACAACAACAAGCACAAACAACAACCCAGCAGAAGCGATCAATTGCGCGAGATAAGCGCATGTGGACGTCAACGTGGACACCACCACCGAAACCAAAACAAAAGCACAATTGAAAAAATCAAAAAACAAAAAAAAAAATAAAACAGAAAAACACCACACATCACATTAAGAACAGGTGACCAACCCAGGCGAGCAGCCCAACTCAACTCAACTCAACTCAACTGAACTGAACTGAACTGAGCTCAACCCAACTCAACCAACCAGCGAACCAAATAGCCAAACGCCCTTTACATTGCTGACATTTCACAGATTTTAGCAATTCCATAGGGTGTGCGGAGTCGGTGAGTGTGGGTGAGTGTGTGTGGAAGTGTGGAATAACACACAGCGAGAGAGTATGACGGATTGCTGCTAAAGCTTGACATCATATAATGATACATAAATATGTCCACAATGGGCCAAGATCTATATTAATATAATATTTGTAATGTATTTAGTTCCTTTACATATGAATTATATTTAAAGATCCAGTGCTAGAAGCTACATACAACATGATGTATTTGAATGCGACAACTTTGCGCTTAGAATGTTGTCAACCTTTTCACTTATTATTTAATAGGAAGGGAAACTTAACGAATTCCAGCTTGGGCTTTATGTAGAAGATTAACACCTGAAAATATGCCTCTACTAACTCTTTCACAGATAACAGATAACAGATATTCTTTATCTTTTTGTATTCTATAAACCGTTTCCCAAATAATATTGTTTACTTCATCTGACTAACCCATATTGATGTCAATGTTCTTCAGTTATTTTATTATTTCATTTCTTTTCACATCAGTTCTTGCAGTTCTTTCTACGTTTTATTCGTTATCCATATTCATATGTATGTACTCGTATATAAGAACCAGTCTTAAATTGTAATCAAACCAATTAAAATCAACCGATGATCGGCGCATTCTAATGTATACAAAATACACAAGTCAAGTCCATGAAAATATTTCGAGAATAATTGAAAATAATATTATAGTTTATTGATGTACCTTAAGAAAACTGAGCTTAAATTTTATATTTAACTTAATTCATTTATATGCCGCTTTTTTTTGTTAACACATTTAAGTATTCAAAAACATAATGTTAAATAATCCTTTGCTCTTATTAAATTTCCGAACTAAATATCCCAGGCTCAAGAGTATTAAATGCGTCGACATGTTAGCTGTCAGTCAAAGCAACCATTGCTTGTTTTGTCGCTATTGTCATATTCGACATTAA